AGACTGAGACTCAGAGGGAAACCTATGAAGGAAGTAGAAAAGTTCCTAAAGTGCAAGGATGTGCTACTGGACACCAAGGCCAAGGTGATCTATACTATGATATTTCTGAGTACAAGAAATGTAGAAGGTGGACAGTGAAGAAAGGAAACAGGGAAAAAATGATTTGTCTGAAATGTGGTGTCGGAGAACTTGACAGATACAGTGGACCACCAGAAAGAAAAATGGTCCCCATGCTTGGGTAAGCCAGATGTTCATAGATTGCAACTACCAGAAACCCTGGCCAGAACAGCTAGTGGTGAAGACTTCTGGGAGTTGAAGTCCAAGGTTACTCAAGCTTGGGAACCACTGCACTAGATCATGTCAAGCCTGTATTATTCACGGAAGCAAAAATGACTAAACTCCTTTGGGCACATAAGACAAAATCCACTGGGAAAAAAAATACTATAATGATGAGAAAAGTTAAAAGGAAAAGAGAAAGACCACATAAGAGATTTTTTTGACTTAATAAAAGAAGATAACCTTGAGTTCACAAGTGCTGAGTAGGAATGTTAAAGATAGGACCTTCTGAAAATTACTATTTCATAGGAATGCCAATGTTTAATGCTTCTTAATTTTGAATTTTATTTGTTGATCAATTTAGCCTACTGTAGTTGATTTCTGATTTTTTGTTCTGTTGGTTATTTTATTTTGTGGTGTCATATCAATTTGATTTGTGGTGTTTTATGAACATCTCTATTTCTCTAAATTGTCTTTAACTCATCCACTACTTCATCATAATCTGTTCACAAGACTTCCTCTCATCCAGCACTATTCCCTGGTGCTGTTTTTTTCCATTCAGCTAGATGGGCAGTTCTAGCTCTCCATAGACCTAGTCTGGCCACCTCTGGTTGAACTGTTAGTGCAGCAGTGTTTAAGCAGCTTTCTCAATTTCAATATACTCTTTGGACGTTGGTGCCAATAGACAGGATAAGCTTCATTCCTGTGCTACCTTACTTCTTTTTTTGCTATAACCTCCTGTCATACTTTGTGTGGGGAAGTACCCACCAGATAGCATACCTTTTCTACAGTGGTTGGTTTCATACTCTCAGTAATAAGTCTATGTGTCCCATTTAGTGCTCTATCTACATGTTTAGCGTGTGTAGATGTGTATTATACTGGACAAGCATATTCAACAGAAAAACACAGGGTAATTGTCAATGTCAATTTTCAGATTTTAATTTCAGAGACACGTAGGATAGAGGGTCACTGCTTTATATCTTGGAAGGCCCTGGTCAATTATGGTTTCCCATTTAGAATGGAACGTCTCTCAAATATGTGCTGTCTTGTTCTTTTTTAAACATTACCAGCATGCATACACTAGAGCAGAGACTCAGTTCATGCTTGGGGAAAAATATCACAAGTCTGCCATCTAGAGTACAAAACATGGCGGTAATAAAAATATATCAAACATTTGCCATTATCATCCAACTGTATTTTGTGGTCTTAAAAGGAATAGGGATGTATTAAATTCCTAAATTTGCATAGTTCAATATAAACTGATATAAATAAGAAAACTGGTATATTTCAATGGATTCTAGCCCAGGCTTCTGAAAGCATTACTATAAAAGTAGAGTGGATAAGAGTGTTGATGCAGGACTTGTTCAAATACCTGAATTCACTGAGTTATTCTCAGCAAGTCACATGTTACTAAAAGGTGACATTCCTTAAAAAAATGAAATACATAATTTCTTACAAAATGAAATACAAATAAACCAAAATGGCAGCATTATGGGAGAACTAACTGAGAAATCAGCTACACAGGAAATAGTTTGGATCTACAGTATTTATCAACTAAACTTTACACTCAGATTTAAAAGAAAATATTTTAATTCCAATCCATTAATCTCTTCTGGCATTCTAAAAAAAAGGGGAAATAAAATTTAAAACATTTTTAAAAGTTTTGTTCCAAACCCTCTCGATTTTAAAACTAAATGTGAGCATTTAATTCCCCCTCCCATTTGCTTTTTTGTGGGTCAGTAAATCTACAGAAATTCCTACTTACATCAGAACTTTTAAAAATGTAAAATAAATTAATGGTTCTGCAACTACAAACAGGCAATTGGCTGGCAGCAACAGCTTTCAGTCAATGAAAATCTACTTCTTTATACAGCTAGACTTCAAGACAAAATACAAGTAGGAAAGCTTACATAGCTCTCCTCCTTTGACCACCACCACTGAAAGTTTCCCCCTAAGAAACTTCATAAACTTCAAGTGTGGTTGCCACTGTAGATGTTCATCCACCTTTGTCTTTGGCCATATCCACATTTAGATATAGGCATGCTGAATAGGTTTTGACCAAGGTAAAGGAGATCTCAATTACAGAAAATATTTTGCAACCCTACTGTCAGAAGAAGCATGAGAAATAATCAGGGACTTCTCAGGTGATCCAATAATTGTAGATAAACTTGACTACTGCCAGTTTAAATGTACTAGTTAATTTAGAATGTATTTTAAATTGTTTACTATTATATATTTTTTGCACAGCTGAGCTATTGTTACGATTTTATGTTCTGTTGGTTGTACTGTTGTTTTATGCTGTAGACAGCAGCCACCAAATTAAAATACGCCTGCTTCTTGGAAGGAAAGCGATGACAAACCTAGACAACATCTTAAAAAGCAGAGACATCACCTTACTGACAAAGGTCCGCATAGTCAAAGCTATGGTTTTTCCAATAGTGATGTATGGAAATGAAAGCTGGACCATAAAGAAGACTGACCACCAAAGAATTGATGCTTTTGAATTGTGATGCTGAAAGAGACTCTTGAGATTCCCCTGGCCTGCAAGATCAAACCTATCCATTCTGAAGGAAATCAATTCTGAGTGCTCACTGGAAGGACAGATCCTGAAGCTGAGGCTTCAATACTTTGGCCATCTCATGAGAAATCTCCCTGGAAAAGACCCTGATGTTGGGAAAGAGTGAAAACAAGAGGAGGGGACGACAGAAGATATGGTTGGACAGTGTCATCGAACCTACCAAGATGAATTTGACCTAACTCCGGGAGGCAGTGGAAGACAGGAGGGCCTGGCTTGCTCTGGTCCATGGGGTCACGAAGTCAGACACGACTTAACAACAATAACATTTCATATTTTCTCATGGTAAACAGAAGCAAGAGTTTGCTTCTTCTTTTTTTTAATGCAGTCGAAGCATTTTCAACTCTAGAAACAAGATAAACCTTTGTATTTTCTTGGACTATCTGTAGAAGAGGACAATTGGTGCATTTTGAGATAAGCCTTTGGTGACAGCATATGCTGGTTCCTTTCAGGCCACAGCTTGTTGCTTGGCAGCATAAGAACACAGGGAAACCCATTTTGGTGACAGCATATGCTGGTTCCTTTCATGCCACAGCTTGTTTGGCAGCATAAGAACACAGGGAAACTCAGGATATATTCCAAATGGCTTATGACCACTAATGAAATAGTTTGAATCAAGATGACCTGGCAGTTGCCTGCTTAGCAACAGGTTTCAGTTGTGTTATTACCTGGCAGGAAATTTGCAGAGGAAGTCTTACAGTATGATCTAAGGCTACCTAGTTATTTTACTCCTTTTCACAATAATTTCCCACTCCACGGCTAACTGTACATGACAGGGGACAGCAGAGTTCTTTCCCAATCACAGACGCTATTCCATATAATTGAATGAAACAGTTTTGTTTCAAAGAAGTGGTTTAAGAATCTATGAGTTTCAAAATCAACTACAGTCCGTTGAACAGAAATAAAGTTCCAAAGACTGATTATCAGGTGAAGAGGGAGGAAAGGGTGTTTTCTTCCCTGAAGTTACCACTGGGAGTGTTTCCAAGTGTGAAACATTTTTCCACCTGCAGACATGAGATGGGACATTGCTTTTCAATCAAGTATCAGGAGGGCACTTTTAATCATCTCATGTTTGCCAGAGTGCCCTGCTAGGAAGGCAAGCACTTGCTGGGCAAAGATACCACACAGCCTCTTCAATGTTACGTATCAACACACAGTCTACCTACCATTTTCACCTAGATCTACTCACCATTTCATCAGGCACCATATGAAGTACACTACTTGATGGAAATGTCATCATTTCTGGGCTTTCCCATTTTTTAATATGAGAATACAAGCGCCAGGTTTCATTCAAATGGACAAAAGAAACAGGCTAGCTAAAAAGGACGATCAAGAACTATTCAATCACAAGCAACTAAAAGCATCCCTCCTCTTGGCTCTTCTGACTTACAGCCATTCAGTGATTAATCTTGATGAATGCTTTCATAGGCAGAGACACAATGCTAGTTGAGTGTTTTTAGGGGGAAATTGCTTTGCAGAAACCGCTCTAATTATACACGGAGATAAACGCTCTGTGTTATACACCAACACAATAAGCTTTATCTCCAGGCTTCTGCTTTAATAGCATATTGATTAGGTTACTCTGGTCCAGACTCAACTTAAATCTGATATGCAATATGGCTGGGCACTCATTAGCCACGTCAAGTCTGCATTTTACAAGAACACTGACCACCACCTCCCCAGAACTTTTATTCCTGTTGGCAACACAACAACATCCCACAACGGCCACTTACGACCATCTAGCCCAGCCCTCAGTTTCTTAACTAGATGCTGCTGCTGGGGTACTCCTTGTTTTCTTCTAGAGCACCTATTGTCCTTCAACGTAGAGATTCATGCAGCAGAACAGAAAAAACACCCAAGCTTCAGAATAGCAACAAGAGATTTATTCTTGTTATCAACAAAAAATCACAACAGCTTAAAAAGGAACTTGGGAGGCACAAGTCAGGTAAAGCCCCATGAAGCATCGAAACAAGTTACAGTCAAGAGAAGTCCCAGGATTTCACACATCTGAAGTGTTGATTTCAGCTTAGCCTTTAGGACAAGCACCGCTGAAGGAGCTGTGAATAAGTAGTGGCAGGAAGGGAAGGAGAGAACAGGTTCAACAACACAGTGTAAACTCAAGATCAAGAACAACTGTGGGTTTTTTTCCTTTTTTTTTTTAACATGTTCTAAAGCACTAAAAGCTTGAACCGTTTTCCTGGACAGGCTACTGGGTGTGCTTTAACTTCTGAACTTCAGGCAGACTTGCATAGCGCCACAGCAGAGAAACGGACCTCTCCTTGCTCACGTTCTGTGAACTGCCGGCAGATCTTTGCAGAAGCCTTAAGAAAAAAGAGCATCAAGAAACATTTCAGTGTTCTTACTGTAAGAATACACAACCGCTGTAGATGTGAAAAGTCTAGTCACAAAAAGAGGTAAAACCTTGGCATCCAGTTAAAAAAATAGTAGTAGTCTGCTATTAGATTAACAAAAGCCCGAAGTACCAGGATCTGGCAAGAAAAGGACACTAAGAAGTGACAAAACATGTCAACGTTATAATTTTTTATATGGTTTAGTTACAAAGACATTGGCATCTGGTATATCCCACTGAATTAGAAGCCATGTTTAGACACTCCAAGCTTCAATAGGGAAATACAAATTGGTTTCATGAATGATTCTCCGTAGGTCCCACTTCTAAATACCTACTTACAGATGAAGAGAGGGAGCAAAACATGAAATGTACTGTATCTGGTGTTTTGATGATATCTGTCATTGCTGAAACTGTCAGGATTTTGTTCTTTTGGTGAACAGGGAGTTAAATTTTAATATTGTCTTGAAAGTGCAGAGTTACGAATGTAAGGTAAAAGCCAATGTAATGACTTTACTTTTTACTTTATTTGGACTTATACCCCGTCCCTCTAGACAAAGTCTACTCGTGCGGCTTACATAAGTGATAAAATACAATAAAATAACATACATAATGATAAAAACCCACTAACTGATGCATATATAGATTATCAAGATGAGATAATTGAGAAACAAAGATTTATTAATTGACTGGAGGGAAGGCCTGCCTAAAGAGCCAAGTTTTTAAATGGCTTTTAAAAACACCCAGCGAGGGAGCCAGGTGGATTTCCGTTGGGAGAGTGTTCCACTGCC